GCAACATCTGCAAACAAGATCTGTTCAGCTTAAAAATATAAAGCAATCACTTATTGGCTAACACACACAATAATCAGCTGGAATTTAATAAGTTATAAGCATTAGTATGCTTGCCACACCATGAGACAATTGAAGAGTCTCTGCTGTTGTCAGGCAGGTATCAGTCAGAATAAGTGTCAGCCTTTGCTTCTTCCTTAACGTTCCCAAGTTTCCATCTTAACACTAACTCCCTGTTTCCTGATTTGTATTTTCTCACCCTAAATAGGATTTCGTATCTCTCCACATTGGTGCTTTTCTTGCATCTTTGAACTATTAACAATCCTATCTCTGTCTGTAATTTTACCTTTCTTACCTTGCATAGCCCTGTTCTGCAGGCTTGCTCACAGCTCTCTGTCACAGCTTAACTATTAACCCAGAAGTCTGAGCCAAGGTTACGCTGCTGCGCTGTATCAGAGCTAGGCTGAATACCCTGGGAGAAAGAATTGGAGGTAGTTACGGAAAGAGGATTACAGTAGCTTAGCCTATGTAAATCTCTCTTCACGAAAAGACAGTACTAATTAGTTAAAAGCTCTTTAACTGGATGAGGAAAGCATACTGAAAACTACAGCGGAATGCTGAAGCCAAACAAGACAAAATTAATACTCAAGATGATTTAATTGCTAGAAGAAGCTATCTGGGAAAGTGGCAGGCCCTCTTTTAGAAATCCAGATCAAGTATTTTGTAGAAGATGGTTTAGTTAAACAAATGAAAAAGCAAACAAAAAAAAAATCCAAAGAAAACCCAGCCAAACAAAAAAACCCACCCAAAACACACAACTACTTAGAGACCACAAAATTTTACACCATTTCTCCTATGAGAAACTAGTCTGGAGAATCTGATGGTTCCATCTGGCCTTAAAGCAAACTTGAGATGCCAAAAGGCACCTAAACTGCATCTTCCCATCTAGTACAGTAATCAGCATAGGTGATCACTGAATTAAATTGTACAGCAGTGGACACTAAGCCACTATGGACACCTTGGGAAACCGGACATCTGTGTTTGATCTACAAAATCTGTTTTTGCTGATAAAAATAGTCTCTGGGTTTTGGCACGCAGCCCAAGAATTTCTTATGGGTAGAAGAATTCCAGTTAAGAGGCAAAATATAAAGGTCCCTGATAACTCCAGGCAAATTGAATTTTTGAACAGGTAAGCAGACAGTTCTACACCCCTTGAGCTGCTGCATGACTACTCGAGTCCCTAGTGTTCTTAGTTTTCCTGGTGGAAAAGCAATCCTCATTCATTTGTTTTCACTGTAGTAACAGAGAGGGCGTGGTTTTTTGCTAGATAGTTTTAGGCAACTGCTAAGCTCTGTGCACTGGTAACTTATTATCGTTCTCCCATAAGGCCAAAACAAGACATAGTTCACACCATGAACGTGAAATGGAAATACCATGCTTTGAGAAACGTTCTTAGCATCTTATCTTTTCTTTTCTATAATCTGAAAAGGTACGGTAGAAACATCCCTGAAAAGACAGGGAATAAAATCATCCACAGAACTGACTTCGTATAAGGATACTGAAATGTCACTAATAAGCTGAAATGTGATTAATAAGCTTAAATTCCTATCTGATGAATACGCTATGGAAATCTAAAAGGAAATTGCCTAAGTATGCAGTAAGAGCATACTGTAGTCCTCTCCTTTAGAGTCCTCCTGTCAGTGGGTAACTGGGGCCACGGAAACAGCCTGCAGTGAAGGAAGATAGAATTCAGTTTCTAACGTTCCTTTCTCTTGTTTCAGGGGGTCTTATCTAACCTCTTCTTTGTGGAACATGACTTTCCTGAGCAAGAGATCCAGGAAGGGAAAAGCCACCAGAACCCACACGAGGCCCAGTTTGTAGTGGAACTGTGCAAATACTTCTTGTGTCAGGATTATCTACCTTCTCAGATCACCATTCTCACTACTTACACTGGACAGCTCTTCTGTCTGCGTAAGCTCATGCCAGCCAAGACCTTTGCAGGTGTGAAGGTTCATGTAGTTGATAAGTACCAGGGGGAGGAGAATGATATTATTCTGCTGTCACTCGTGCGGAGCAACAAAGAGGAGAGAACTGGGTTCTTACAGATCCCTAATCGCATATGCGTTGCATTATCCAGAGCTAAGAAAGGGCTGTACTGTATTGGAAATATGAGCATGCTTGGCAAGGTTCCTCTCTGGAGCAAGATCATTCACACCCTTCGGGAGAAAAATCACATTGGCCGCTCACTGATGCTTTGCTGTCAGAACCACCCTGAAACCAAGACACTCGTATCTACAGCAGCAGACTTCAGCAAAGTACCAGAAGGAGGCTGTAGTCGTCCCTGTGAATTTAGGTTGAGTTGTGGACATGTTTGCACAAGGGCATGTCACCCATATGACAGCGAGCACAAAGAGTATCAGTGTCTGAAGCCTTGTCAAAAGGTGCTTTGTGCAGATGGGCACCGCTGTCCACGGTCATGTTACGAGCCCTGTGGACCATGCATGGTGAAAGTAGAGAAAACTATTTCTAAGTGTGGCCACCTGCAGATGGTGCCATGCTCAACTCCAGACAGTGAGTTTCTTTGCCAAGAACCTTGTCAGAAAAAGTTGAACTGTGGGCACACATGCAACAAATTCTGTGGGCATTTTTGGAATGCACTAAGTGGTGTCCTGAACTGGTTACAGTCACGCTGAAATGTGGCCATGACCAGCAGGTTAAATGCTGGATCACTGAGGAGATGAAACATGAGAAGCCTGTGGAATGTAAGATGAAGTGTTCTGCCAAACTGCAGTGTGGTCATGTATGCTCAGGTTCCTGTCATACCTGCTTTGAAGGAAGATTTCATAAGCCATGTAACAGCCCATGCAAGCGCTTCTTGGTTTGCTCCCACAAGTGCCAGCAGCCTTGTACTACAGAATGCCCTCCCTGTCAGCTGGAATGTCAGAACCACTGTATCCACAGTAGGTGTAAAAAGAAATGTGGAGAGAGCTGTTTTCCATGTGCTGAGCCATGTGAGTGGCGGTGCCAGCACTACCAGTGTACCAATCTCTGCTCCGAACCATGCAATAGGCCTCGCTGCAATGTACCATGTACTAAGCTACTGCGTTGTGGTCATCCTTGTATTGGATTGTGCGGAGAGCCCTGCCCAAAGAAGTGCCTTGTTTGTGACCATGAGGAAGTCACTCAGATCTTTTTTGGCTTTGAAGAAGACCCAGATGCTCGATTTGTGCAGCTCGAAGACTGTGGCCATGTCTTTGAGTCCCAAGGCCTTGACCATTATATGGATGAAGATGATGGTGTCATCAAGCTGAAGGTGTGCCCTATGTGTCAGACACCTATCAGGAAGAATTTGAGATATGGCACCATTGTGAAAAGGCGGCTGGATGAGATAGAAAAGGTGAAAGAGAAAATCCAAGGCCCAGCCCAGGAAATTGAGTCTAGCAGACAAAGACTGCAGGCTGCACTGACAGGGAATGCTGTTCTGCAGCGGAATCTACCCCTTAAGTACCTCATGCTAGAAGATAAACTAAAAGCTTCTGATCTCTCCACAAAGAGTATTGGATTAATTGAGAACCAGCTGAACTTGTACAAACGTGTAGCAGACCTAACCAACTCTATGAGCAAAATCAATGCGAATGAGAGGAAGGGGCTGAGAAAGCGTCTGGATGAAGTCCAGGAGTGGCTGGATAAGCCAAGGCTCAGTTTTACGGGACAGGAGCTCTCTGACCTGCAGGCTGAGCTTCAGCGACTGACCTATTTGCTGAACCTCTTGGCACGGTGCGAGGGTGCCAGGGGCACGATCGCCCCGGCGCTTGCCGCGAAGATTGCCAGTGTGCGACAGATCCTGGAAGGGACAAAGAAATTCACACAGGAGGATGAGGCTGCAGTGAAGGCTGACCTGGAGTGGCTCTGCAAGGCCTTGCCTGTGTCGGGGCTGGGCATCTCTGAAGTGGAGCGGGTGCAGATTGTCAATGCTGTGGGCTGTCCCCGTGGCCACTGGTTCAAGTGCCAAAACGGGCATATCTACGTGATCGGGGAGTGTGGGGGGGCGATGGAGAGGAGTAAGTGCCCCGAGTGCCATGAGGTGATCGGGGGCACCAACCACACGCTGGAGAGCACCAACCGCCTGGCCTCGGAGATGGACGGTGCCACCCACCCAGCCTGGTCCGATACCGCCAACAACCTCCTCAACTTCCAGGAGCTCCGCCAGCTGCTGTCGCGGACCG